CCCCGCCGCCCGCCCCCCAGCCACAGACACATTCCATCCGCCCTGGCTCCTGGCGGGGAGGGGAGGACCAGAGGACCCCACCCCGCGCCTGCATCACGTGTCCCGCCGTGCTTCTGGGGCTCCCGACAGGTGACAGTCAAGCCTCAGACCTAACGCATCGACTGACGAGTGACTCCTGCCGAAAGCAGCGCTGGGCCCTAATGCCGCCGCTTCACTGCGCCCCACGGGTGGGGCAGTGCGGGGCCAATGGCCGGGAAACAGCCAGAGCTATTCACTGGGGTTAAACTCGGGAGTGAGTTTCGCGGAGTTCAGGGCTCTGGCTTAGCGCTGCCCGGTATTTCGATTCCAGGAGAGACGTGCCAGAGGCTGCACTAGTTTATCGGGGGTGACCACTCCCACCTGCCCTGAATACCCGATGGGCTGGTACCTCCAGAAAGGGGCCAGCGCGAGTTTGCGACACCCCGTCACACCGCATGATGGTGCGTGACCCTCTCTGAGATCACATCACCCTGCTCCCAGTGGTGATTTTGCCCGCGTGGTGGTGTTTTCACTCACCCTTAAGGAGCAGGTGTGCAATGCCAGCCACAACTGTGTCTGCCAGATGACGTCCCCGTGGGGAGACAAAGCACCCCAAAGGGGACTGTTCCTGGCTCCAAAACGGATGACTCCCTTGTTTACATTGATTTAAGCTCCTTCCAAGTAAAACCCTTTCCTTCTTGATCCTGTGCATGCCTGGAGCGAATAAAAAAATATCTATTCCGAGTAACTTCTTATTGACAAGTATCCGAGGGGTAGCCGTGTTAGTCTGGATCTGCAAAAGCAACAAGGAGTCCTGTGGCACCTTATAGACTAACTGAAGTGTTGGAGCATACGCATTCGTGGGCAAAGACCCACTTCGTCAGATGCATAACGAAATGGCTCTTTGCCCGGGAAAGCTTATGCTCCAACACATCTATTAGTCTATAAGGTGCCACAGGACTCCTTGTGGATTCTTATTGACAAGTTTCCCAGACGTAGCCAAGTTAGTCTATAACTGGAAAAACGTTTAAAAAACAACCAATGGGTTTGCAGCGGATTAAGATGAACCGGAGGGAGACGCTCTTATTCCACACCAGGCCCTGTTCCAGCTAATCCGGAGTCACTCTGGACAAACTGCAAGGGGATGGGGAAGGCAGCAGCTTAT